TTTTTTTTAAGTAAAGATAAGCTATTTCTATAAATTTGCTCCATTTAAACTGAAGATTGTCACTAATTTGGGGCTTTACCTGCAGGTATTTCCTTCTAACCTTGTCTTTGTAGCACATTTGGTCAAGAACAGAACCTTCACCTTTTCTCCATCAGTGGATTTGTTTGCAGACAAAAACATCAGCTGTGAATCACCTTAAACACAGAAACAGAGCTGCAGCAGAACTGGACCGTCTCCACGTTCCTCGAAACGACACCCGATCCCGTTTTCTTCTGTTGCACAGATCCAGAGCTTCACGTCCACATTTCCATTTTAGTACAGACGATGTTCACACTCTGACCCCCCTCGCTGTGTCTCTACAGTCATATTGCAGTAATGTATTATTTCCTGTTAAGTGAAGGTCGTTAAACCAAAAACGGAGTCTCGCGTGTCTCCTTTTTTGTGCAAAGCATGTGTGTTGTCCTCGTTATCGAGTGTTCAGAGTGGGTGAAGGTTTAGCATCTGAGTTTTCAGACATTTTTATTTTACTTTATTTTATCCGTCAAGGTTTAATCTTTAAATGAACATCATGTAATAAAAAGCAGACTATTAGGTCTGGATTTTGTTGTTATGTAGATTTTAATTTACTGAATTTGAATCGAATAGTTTCTCTACAGTCATTTCTATTTGTCCCTCTTATACAGACTGTAGGTCTGTAATAAAGTGTAATCTTTTTATCTGTGAGGTGTCAGGCAGAAAGCGACAGCGTGTTGTGGTTTTCTCAGTGGGACCTTACAGGATGCCTTCTTGGCGAGTGAGCATCACTCTGCAGCCAACAGTGAGGTCTGTGCTGTTTATCTGCTGCTGTCTGGCTGAGACATGAATCATCAGCACTGCCAGCCACGATGTCTGATCTGATAACAACTTTGGAGAACATGAAATATTTATTCTCCCCCTCAGATTTTATTATTCTTACAGAAATGATTCATGGGCCACTATTATTGTTATTATTAGAGAGGGTGAAGAGCTCCAAGTAAAGCTGCTGCCCTCGACGTTAAGAGGAAGCAGCTGTGCGAGTTCAGGCATCCAACCAGGATTCCTCCCTTATCCCGAGAAACTCATCAGGACTTCCATAGAAGAGCATGAGAGGGTGGCTGAGGTGACGGAGGGTCAGGCACAAGCTGAGACCACTGCCCCTGTGACCCAGGCTGGGAGAGGAGAGTGGATGGATTGGTGGATTATCATCATCGTCAGATATTCACAGTGTGATCTTGATCTTGTTGCAGAGTAAAAATATGGTGCGTGAAAGGTGAATATGCACAGTTCGTGAATGTATTTTATGCTCGTGAAAAAATACATTTGAAACTTGAGTTGATTTTTACACTGTAGAAACTAAAGACCACACACCTTTGGAGCGGGAGTTTAAGTTTGATTCAGAGTATCCAGTAAGGGTCCTGACCAGACCTCCCAAACCAAGCCCTGGGATGGCAGCCACGTCTGCAGCTCGGACACAAGCATCTCACTCATGTTGTACTATATATATATATATATATATATAATTTCATCCTTTGTACTTACCTTTGTTGTTTGTTCCAGTTTTTATTGTGTGAAAAATCTATTGGACAGACTCATGAACAGAGTCATCATTTGCCTTCAGCACTGCTGTCACCATCATTACCTGTAAACGGGATATTAGAGCAGTTATCAACCTGCTGCTGCTCTGGAGACCCTCGCTGATTAAACGCTGAGGTGATTACTGGGTTAATTGAACTGGGAAATGTGGTTTGCATGTGTGTGTTATGGTAGCGTTGAGCATTTCTGTAGAAAGGATCCAGCAGCAGATCAATGCAGAGAAAAGCAACAGAGAAATTACATAAAACTTGACACTTAAAGTTTCATGTGCAAAATATTCTACAGACGTACACCACAGCGTGACGAGTGAACGATTATGAACCTTGACTTCTTGATCATTTTTACATCATCATCATCGTTTATTTATATAGCACTTTAAAAACACACCTGGTAGACCAAAGTGTTGAACAATACATCTATAAATAGTAATAATATAAGAACAATGTCTAATATGAAGAGGAAGATTGTTCCAAAGCAACGGGGCCACAGCAGAGGACGCCCGGTCTAATCTGAGTTTCAGCCGTGATTTAGGGACTGAAAGCAGGTGCTCAGCTGACTGGAGGGAACGAGGTGGAACATAAGGCTTCAACAAATAAACGGGTGCCAAAGCATTTAAAGATTTAAAAACCAATAAAAGAACTTTAAAATGGATCCTAAATTTGATTCGAAGCCAATGTAGAGAGGCCAAAACCGGAGTGATGCGGTCGAATTTCCTTTTTGCACTAATTGTAAGCGTGACAAAATGCCCAGCCCCTATTAAAAGGGAATTACAGTAATCCAGGAGTGAAGTAATAAAAGCATGAATTACAGCTTCTAAGTTACGTTTGGAGAGAAAGGGCTTGATCTTCGATATCTGAGGTGGGAGAATGCTGATTTCACCGCCCCAGTCACGTGGCCATCAAATGTAAGTGCAGAATCAATTTTTACTCCAAGATTTGTGATTGAATTCTTCAAATGAGAGATCAAAACAGTGAAATCAACATCTGGAGGGTCAGGAAAGTGATTTGGGCCAAATAAAATCACTTTTCTGTTTACATCAGCACAGGATTCACCTCAGCTGATGTGGTCACATCGTTCCTAAAGCGTGGACAGGCAGACCTTTAACTAACAAATTGACATGATGCGCCGTCTCTTTAATAAATCCAGGAAAGCAGCTTCTTCTCCTTTAAACAAAAATATCAAATACATTGATCGCCATCATTTAAAAGCATATATACGCTTCACACTCCATTAGCCTGAAGTATTTAGTCCTTGAACGTGACCACATGAACCAGTACCAGGTACCAGTAGTTTTATGGAGGAACTTGCCTGCAAACATTAAGCAGCTGTGAAAAGTGAAAGAGAGAACATCTTCAGAGTAAAAGTGTGTCTCTGAAACATGTTGGCTGCAAAGGTGAGGCACAACTTTTACTCTGAGGGCAAATGTTCTGTGTTTATATCTGATGTCACGCTATAGCTTTTACTAGCACCTAGCTAATAATTGGGCACATCTCAGCATCTTCCATGCAAACTATGGATAACTGCATTGACCTACTAGAACCAATGCTATTGCAAGGAAGGTTTTGGTGCAGCGCCCTCTTTGTGACCAGTTTCACTCAGCGACTGCCACAGCAGGTAGAGGTGGGTTGCAAAGCAGCCTGTAAATGCACAACAGCTGTGCATCAGTTGATCTGTTGGGATTGCAGGTAATGACCTTGAGGTCTGCCTGACCCGGCACTATGCTTGTCATCTGTTTTTCTGATCAGTTTGCCGGGCTGCTCACGGGCGCTTCGCTCAGAAGCTGATGAAAGACTTATTTACCAACTACACCAATGCTCTGCGGCCGGTGGAGGACACCGACTACATCATCAATGTCACATTACAGGTCACTCTCTCCCAGATCATCGACATGGTAATCAAACCCTGAATGCCTATCCAGCTCTTTATGCTGTATCTAGTCAGGCGGGTACCTGTGTGACCTTGTTGTTTTCATGGATTTTCACCAGGATGAGCGGAACCAGATCCTGACTACCTACCTGTGGGTCCGCCAGGTATGGATGGATGCCTTTCTCACATGGAAGAAGGAGGACTATGATGGCCTTGACACCATCCGCATACCCAGCAGCTACGTTTGGAGACCCGATATTGTTCTGTATAACAGGTAGGTGTATCATCCTTCTGGCTGATCTTCAGGATAATTATTGATGTTTTCAAACTCCTTCCTCGTTTCTATCATAGTGCAGATGATGAGTTTTCCAGCTCCATGGAGACCAATGTTGTTCTTCGTAACGATGGCCAAGTCATGTGGGACCAGCCAGCCATCACCAAAAGCTCCTGCTCTGTTGATGTGGCCTTCTTCCCCTTCGATGTGCAGCAGTGTGACCTAACCTTTGGCTCCTGGACTCACAACGGAAACCAGATGGATTTGTTCAATGCCCTGGACAGCGCCGACTTGGCTGACTTTGTCCCCAATGTGGAGTGGGAGGTCAGTAATGGTGTCATGTGTTTAGGACATCCTTAACCCTTTAAAGCCGGTC